TCCCATTAGCTAAGGAAGATGGGTCTAAAGCAGTGGTAGTCAACCTGGTCCCTACCGCCCACTAGTGGGCATTCCAGCTTTCATGGTGGGCGGTAAGGGTTTTGTCCGATACTGAAGCACTTTTTGACTTTTTAAAAAAAATTCACAGCATTATTTAAAAATGTTCATTAGGTTTTCATAAAATCACCATTATTGTGGAACCGGTGGGCAGTTAGAAAATTTTACTACTAACAGAGATACAAAAGTGGGCGGTAGGTATAAAAAGGTTGATTACCCCTGGTCTAAAATCTCCCAGGTCTGAAAAAAATCAGCAAAACTGGAATTTGAAAATGCTCCCTCTTAAATAGCTGCTTGCAGGAGCAAACTTTTATCATCTCAGTTTAGTGTGTTTGGTTGTGCCACCCTGCAAAATTGACAATTCCCAGGTTCCCTGTGGATTAAGCCTGCTCCGAATAAAAGGACAGCAAACAGATTTCTTTTTTCCCCCCCAGAAATGCAAGGTGAAGAGGTGCATGGCTCCTTTGGGGCTTAAGGTGCATCGAACATTCACTGGCCCAAGGCCAAATACTGCACTTCAAAGTGTAGGAGAGGCAAGAGCAAAAGTGAAGTCTGATTTAATTTGAATTAGACCCAATGAATTTGATTACTTCTCTCAGGCCTACAATAACTTTTTCCCCCTCCACTCACTACAAATTACAATTTAAAAGCACTCTGGGGAGGGCACACCCAAAGCTTTGGGAGTACACCTCTGGTCTGGAAACATATCTAAGTGATTACATACCTGAAAACTGCTATTACAGGAAACAATGTTTAACTTTTGAAAACAGTCCTAACATGTGCGTGGGTCAAGAACAGTTTGTGGGTTGAAGCCTATGCCCAACAACCCTCCTTGGCGCAAGAAGGGTCTTAAAAAGCCTCTTGTCACCCTGCCTCAGCATATCTTATCTGAGCCATGGCAAAGGCAGGAGAGGAAGAACTGGCGATGGAGAGTCAGCACCTAACCTGAAGCAGGGTTAGCCAAGATTTAAAACATAACCTGTTTTTAATGGCGGAACACACTTAGCAATTCAGAAGATTACTGAAGAGGCAGATGCTTTAGTGATGGAGTAACTGCAGCTTGACAGTCTTGTGAGAAGTTCACACACTAATGAAAGACTGAGGCATTTATTATAAAATGTAAAGACAGCTTTGGAGGAACCATTTTGCCTTAGGGAAGGGGAAGAGAAGCAGGAGGAGAACCAGAAGAGGAACAGACTGAGAATAGGCACAGTGGGAATTAGAGTTATGTTAGAGTTAGAGTTATGTTTCTATTCATCTGACTGGTCATCCAAATGCCACCATTACGTTTTCCCTCCCCCCTCAAAAACATTTTGGTATCTCCTTCCTTTCATATGGTCTCCTGCCANGACAAGGAGTTTGTTTCATGCTCTTGGGAAGCCTCGGTCAGAACACTTAGGAACATCAATTTTGGCTTCCTTTCTGGTTGTAAGTTGGAGATGATCTTGCATTAAGTTTCTTTTTCTCTATTGCAGACCGGAATCTGAATATCTGGGAATATTGTCCCGTCTCTGACAAATGGGCTAACTTTGAAACCTGTGGGTTGCACATCCGCAAGCAGCAAATGCTCTCAGTGGAAGAGACCATCTACATAGTCGGCGGCTGCAGCCATGACTTGGATTGCAATAAAAGATCCAGTCAGAATGAGGATATGCTAACTGTGCAGTCTTACAACGTGGTTACCAAACAGTGGCTCTACCTCAAAGAAAACACCTCAAAATCGGGTCTTAACCTGACTTGCACTTTGCACAACGATGGGATTTACATCCTGAGCAGAGACATCATCTTGTCCACACGTTTGGAGCACCGGGTTCTTCTAAAATATAATATATTTTCAGACCGGTGGGAGTCGCTGAGAAATTTCCCCACCCCTGGACAGAACATGTTGATCTGCTCCTTGTATTTTCCAGATCTGATCTGAATTCCAATTCGTTCACATTACAGAGATTTCTTCCATCTGTTCACCAGTTATTATTTTTTGCACAGTGGCTCCCAACTTCGGCCACTTTAAGATGCATAAACTTCAACTCCCAGAATTCCCCAGCCCAGTCCACATGTCTTAAAAGTATCCAAGGCTGGGAAACTCTAATTGGACTGAATGTTTAAGACACGATGCTCAAAATGTTACTATTGCAATTGATAACGTGGGAGGAGACAAAGGATAAATGGGCACAGATCAGAGATGGTATTCAGCAGGTTCTTACCAGTTCTGGAGAACCGGTAGGGGAAGTTAGGAGAACTGGTAAATACAACTCTGACTGGCCCCACCCCCCATCTATTCTCTGCCTCCCGACTCCCAGCTGATCAGGAGGAAATGGGGTTTTGCAGTATCCTTCCCTTGGAGTGGGGATTTTGCAGTATCCTTCCCCTGGAGTGGTGAGGGAATGGGGATTTTGCAGTATCCTTCCCCTGGAGTGAGGATTTTGCAATATCCTTCCCCTGGAGTGGGGAGGGAATGGGGATTTTGCAGTATCCTTCCCCTGGAGTGGGGAGGGAATGGGGTTTTGCAGTATCCTTCCCCTGGAGTGGGGAGTTTGCAGTATCCTTCCCCTGGAGTGGGGAGGGAATGGGGATTTTGCAGTATCCTTCCCCTGGAGTGAGGATTTTGCAGTATCCTTCCCCTGGAGTGGGGAGGGAATGGGGATTTTGCAGTATCCTTCCCCTGGAGTGGGGAGGGAATGAGGATTTTGCAGTATCC